ATATGGAGCTTTAATAAGTTGTATTTATACACAATTTTTTTGTAATCTTAAATTTTAAGTAATATGCATCAATAAATAGTATTTTGTGCATAAAAATGATTTTTAAGTGTTTTTGTAAAATGCTTTATAATATAGTGTAGGTTCGTGTTAAAAAAACGAGTAAATTACATTTTTTTGTCGAATGTGGTTTGTTAAAAGTTGCTATTTTTTTTTTCTTTCTAAAATTACGATTTTCATTTTTTATAATTTACAATTTATTGTTGTTTTCATCGTTATGGTTTATAACTTATTTACGTTTTCATCCATGTGGTTTACAATGCTTTGTTGTTTGAGTCTCTTATACTTAAAGGTAAGTGTTAGCTCAGGGACAAAAATAACAATGAATTACGACCACGAGTGAAACAACTTATTAAGGAGTCTTTTACCAAAACACTTACCATACCTGTAAGAGACGACACTTTAATTTACTTTACCGGGTAAAATTGTAGTCCATCAAAACGATATCATATGCAACAATTTACTCGATAAGTGTTTATCGGGTAAGACTCTCCATCCTTATGATCTTTTTATCAAGTAAGATTCTCGACGTTTACCATATACATTCAGGGTGCATTTGGTACACTGGACATGATAGAACGGGACATGGATCTCTGTCTCATGTTTGACATGACTTTTATATGGAATAGACAGAAACAACGTGAAGCATGCATGTTTCTCCCCTACCCCATGGAACAAGGTGTAACAAACTTATATTTTATCAATATAACTTCAAAATAGAACTTAATTCTTTTCTAAAACATTAAAAAGATCTCCTTTTACATTTTACTTATTGTATTTTATGTTTTATAAACTTTCATTTTATTGTCCTCAAAATATTATTTGTATATGGTTTCTATATCTTTATTAATTTATTATATATTAATAATGAAAAATAATGTAGAAAAGAGATAAAAATAAAAACTGTAACTACATGAACTTTTTTTTGTGTCATTTTAATTGTTTTGACGAAAACTTTCTAATTATATTTTGTTATAAAAAATAATCACTCTATTATAATTTAATAAATTACATAAATTAATTAGAATAAACAACTCATTATGAGTAAATTGGTCTTTTTACTTGTTTTGTCCAGTTTTTTTATTATCAAACATTGAACAGTTGTTCTATCATGTTCTGTTTTGTCATGTCATGTCCTGTCTACCCACCAAACATACCCTTAGTATGATAGAATATCCAATTTTCAAAAATTTCATTTTATTGTGTGTTTTTAATTATTATTTCATCAGTGAAGACAGACTAACAACATTTTATTTCATATTTAAAGTTCGTAAAAAAAAAAAACTAATCTTTGAAAGGGACCGATTACCTATTATCCATTTATTTTTATAAAAGATCAAATTGTATGAAAAAATAACGTACTTTAGCTTGATTTTAATTTTGGGTAACCTACTTTTAAAACTTCCGTTTTGGTACCTAATATGTAAAATTTTAAATTTTTAAATACCTGGATAACCGGTTGAAACATTAACCGGTTACCATGCTGATGTGGCGAGTAATATAAGCATAGATATCTTAATACTGAGTTGGATACCACATCAACCGGTTACTCGGGTTCCTAAGTGTTTAAAACTTTACATATTATGTATCAAAATGAAGTTTTGAAAATACGTTACCCAAAATAGGAATAAAGTTAGAGTACGTTATTTTTTCATATAATTTGTTTTTTAATAAAATATAATAATTAATTAATATTAAAATAATGACATGATTAAAATAAAAAGGTATACATCACCATGCGCTCCTCTCTATATTTATTTATAGCATCCGAACTTATGAAAACTCACCACATAACCCCCAAGTTTACAACTCATACGTTTCTATGGTTCCTATTCCAAGACTTGCGACTTCCCCTTTTCTGTACCTTTTTTTTAAAATTGTAAATAAATATATTAAATCAAARTAATATATATAGAGTTGGTTTCACGTGAGATCAAATGTTTTTTCGTGAGACTAAATTACGTTCATTGATCAACTTTATAAACTAATGATCTAATGGTATAAAGTTGCATGGTAACAATTTTGTGATTATTAAGAAGTCTCATGACAATTTTATGATTATGAATGTTCAGATTGTAGATCTAATTCAAGGTTTGAGAATTTGTCTTACAGGTCTCACGAAAAACCCTTGGTCTCTACATATAATTCTCTCTCTCTCTCTCTCTCTCTATATATATATATATATATATAGACTTGGGATCATGTGAGACCAATGGTTTTTCGTGAGACCCGTAAGACCAATTCTCAACCCTTGGATTAGATTTACAATCGTCAGATCTGGACATTTATAAACGCCACGAGACTTCTTACTAATTACGAAATTGCCACCTTGCAACTTTGAAATCATTAGATCATTAATTCATAAATTTGATCAATGAATATAAATTGGTCTTACGGGTCTCACGAAAAACCCTTGGTCTCACGTGAACCCAACTCTCTCTCTCTCTCTCTCTCTCTCTCTCTCTATATATATATATATATATATACTAATACTACATTAACAACCATTTAGGCCAAAATCTTAATTACAACTCTTAAAGCATAGATTACTACCATTTTATGCAAGAAATTCAAAAATCTTTTAATTACAAATTTTTATACACAATGTACAAGCTCTTAATGCAAGTATTTCCACAACACCAAATTCTAATTGGGTCAAAATTACC